AAGGGGCTGAAAATAAGGGTTTACTACCTTTCTGCGGCTTTTGACAAAATAATTCTATGATTAATTGACATTAATATAAATGAAGGTAAAAGTGCATTTGGCAATGATTAAATGCGACTTGATTCTTTGTGTTTTCTAGTTGAGAGGGTCATGTAAGTATCAAATATGTATAATATAATGTACATAACATTAAAAGCCGATGTTCACTCCTTTAGCCTGATATCTTCATTATATATGTTCTTTAAAGTTTAGATTGATTAATAAATAAAGCCATTTTTCTTTTCATTTTTTTGCAATCAATGTGGGGGCCTCTTAATTTCGTGTCCAATTGCACTTTTTAAATTTATTTTTTTTAATCATATCTAAGTTACTGTCTCGTTTAATATCGACTCATGTCGTATTAAATTATTAGGACAAACATCAGTACTATACGATAAAAAAAAATATTACGAGAAAGTCAAATAAGACGTCGTAAATGTGTGTTTGGACTTCAATTATATGAAACTTCAAACACAATAAGAGAAATAGTAGCTTCCAACCGTAAAAAATTCACGGGAAAGTCTATTTTAACAATGTCGTATGTGTTTAAACTTCAGTCATATAAAATTATAAAAATTGTGTTTGAAGTTAAGATTTTTGTCAAACTGACTATATTTGAAATTGTTTCAAAGTGTGTATACATTTTTAAAAAATGAGCAAATGTCAAACAACAACGTCAAAATCAAGTATCCGTGTAATTTGCTCCTCACTACTAGATTTTTAAAAAAATATCGTAGCCTGAAAAGTTTGAATCCAAGACTTTTTGTTAAGAACGAGAGAAATTCTTTTCATTTCATCACGATAGTTAATGGTAGTGTGTCCACTTGTTCTATTGCCATTGCCTCTTTCAACTCCATATATCACTTTTAAGATGTGAGGAAGTTGAATGCAATGAACAATATTCTTTGGACCACTATTCATTGTCACCCACTACTCAAACTCTTATGGTTGAAATATGGTATATGTTGAGTTGGTTTTAGGTAGATAGGGGGGTGAATTAAGTAGTATACATAGATGCAGTTGCTACTACAAAAGATATACAATGATATTATATATGTCACTCCAAAAATAGTTAACCATTTCTAACAAACTAAACATCCTAATAATAGTAACATTTCTCGTTATCTCTAGTCTATATGGGGTCTCTTGGTTTGCCACACTACCAAAAATGATCCCTATCACAAAAGATAGGTATAAAATATACGCTCGTATCAGTTATATATGAAGGTCGCATGCTATCTCATAAAAAATGAGACGTGAAATTATAATTCACGTATTACTAATACATGAAAAAAGAAGACTAACTAAATCTGTAATACTCCTTGAATCAATAACTTATTTGTAAAACTGTTAACTTTTGAATCTTCTTATTAAAATTTCTGATTTCGCTATTAATACTAATTAAAAGTAATAATCTATTACTCCTCGTGTAACCAAATGATTATATTTAGATGGTATTACTTATACAATTAGGTGGAATGGTGAAATAATAGTCTCTATTTTAATGATGTATTCAAGAAAAAAAAAACAAAGAAAGATAAGACACATTGTAAATAAGATTAGAGACCATGATTAAGATGTTGTTAATTATAAAGTTGCATTCTTTGAGTCAATCAAATGACTATAAATGTCAACTATGAGAAAATTAATACTTAGTGGTGTTAATGGGACCACCCACTAATTATTAGGACGGATTAGCAATGAATTTGTTGCAATATTCGAACTTATTCGGATTCGATATATGATTTAATTTGGTTCGATATAATATGATAATGATAAAAAGTACGGAGAGATTTTGATTTCGATCCCTTAATGTAATGAATTTAAGGTTGTCGTTTTTATTGTTGTACTTGCAGAATGTGAGATTGAAGTTGTCTTCATGTTTTGTCAATGGCGATATGTTCCATGTCAATCTGGTTTTTTGTGTTTGTCAAATACTCTAGAAATGGTCAGCTTAAACATTGCAAGTAACTTCTAAAGCTCTACTTGTTTGTTTTTTTTCTTTACAAATACAACAATTTTACGATCATCAAAACACTATCACCGTGTTTTATTTTCATATAATATAGTTGTTATATGCGTCACAAATATTTTTCACCACGAAACTGATTTTTCATAAAATATTTTCCTTTACATTTGAACCATGATTCCGTCCAATTTCACTAATAAAAAACTCCTTTAATTTAGAGGTTGATATAAAATATGTCTTTTGCAGTTTTGTCCTTATTTTGTGGTCTTTAATTCTTAGCCCTCAAAATAAATACTCAATCCGTCCCATTTTATGTGATATTTTTCATTTTTCAAAAATAAAACAATTTAACTTTGACCGGATATTTGCGTATGGAATTTTCAAAATTTTCAAAAATGAAATTTATATATCTATAAACTACATAAAGAGTACTATAAATCATAATAATTAATAATTCAAAATGTTAAAAATCTATGAAAAACTTATGGTCAACGATAGACTTGTTTGAATCTCGAAATGCGAAAAGTGGCACATGAAATGAAACGGAGAAAGTAACTTTTTTACGGAATCTACATTTATATTTTGTAAAAATTTAAGGAATCCCATAGTGTAATTCAATAATTACATTCTGTCCCGACAAATTTAGTATTTACAAAAAATCCCTTAAATTTGTAGTTCCGTGATACTTTAAACTCTAGTGATACATGGTAAGTTTAAACTATTGAGAAAAAAATGGGGAAAAAATGGTACAATTAATGTTGTTACTAAAACAGCTTAATTTTAAGGTAACAGATCATTAATCACCATAAAATCAGCACGTAATTGGATATTGATTTCAAATTTTGAAAATCAAAATTATATCATCTATTTTGAAAACATTTTTTATGAACAATCATGGCGGAAAGAAATTTAGTCGTCAGTGGAAACACAGATGTGGGTCCTCAATTGCAAGCTTCTTAAGCAAGGTTAGTCCCAAAAAAAATCAGTTGTACAACTCGACAGTGAAACATTATTCGAAATTTAATTTTGCTCTACGAAATCTCAATTTTTTTTTCTTTAAGGTACGACCCTAGACAACCCAGCAGCAGGCAGGCAGCCTCCTGTTACTGTAAATTTTTTGCTTTGTAGGTGGCGCCCATCAATTTTTGTTTTCTTATGTGTATTGGTCTACCCAGAATACAAGTATTTGTCATAGTAAGCCATAAGTTGAGGAAAAGGTTTGAACTAATTGAAAGAGCAATAAGAAGAGGACAATATATATAAATGCATATTTACTCGTTAGTTTCTGCTCTTGTTGTATTGTATTACTTTTTTCATAATCTGGGAAACTGCTAGTGCAATTAAAAACAAAAAGTAACAAAACTCAAAAAAAATATAATTATTTTTCACTCATGCTCCTCTTGTCATTGGATCTCTCCTATTCCTAAGTCCTAACAACATAAAATAAAAGAATCTTGGAAACAAAAATCATTGTCATCTCCCCACTTGGCGCTACTCATTTGGTCTTTACTTCATCCTGCAAATACATTGACAAACGACAACGTACATGTATCAGTGAATCAACTAAAACATTATAACATGTGATTCATATCTAATACATGTATCAGAAACATCGACTATAATATACACACTGATTCTATATGTATCATCAAGTACAATGGATGACGCATTTATTAAACTTAGTGAATGATACATTATAACAATTTTCAAAACATGTATCAGTACATCAACTAAACAACTAATACCTTACTGATACATGATATCAGTTTTCAGAAATTCATACTACACGCAAAACATGTGATACATATCTACTACATGTATCAGTGCATTGACTAAACACTGTACACACTGATTCTATATGTATCATCAAGCACAGTTGATGACGCATTTACTAAACTTATTGAATGATACATTATAACAATTTTCAAAACTTCATGATACATATAAAATATTATGATACACAACAAATTCATGTATCAATTCACCATCTAAAACACTATACACACTTATTCAAATGTATCAGCAAGCACACTTGATTCCTTAAAATTTTTACTAATTTTAACAACAGTTTTAAGTACCAAAATACTAACCCGAGACAATTTTAATTTCTTAAAATTTTTACTAATATCATATATCCTTCTATTAATTGACGGATCCATTACTATGATGTAATTAACAAAAACAAAAAAGAGAAGAATATACGAATTGATGATGGATTAACTATAAAAAAGGTCTGGGTTCTTACGATTCAAGATTAGGAAGAAATAGTCGAATATGGATTAAGAATAAAAAGAAGAAAATAAAAAAATATGCTGGGTTGAGCAGATTCAAAATTATGAAGAAATAGTCGAATGAAGACGATTAAGGAAAAAAAATAAGTGAAAGTTGACTTTGGTAAGAACAAAACGGTAGAATGCATGGGAAGTTACCGTGCTTCCTAATTTTTTGAATTTTGAAATTCAAAATTTCAAAATTTGTTCTTTTATTTAAATTTAATAATTCAAAATCAAAAAGCTGATTAAAAGGTTGAGTGTTTAAATGGATAAATTTAAAATTCAAAAACTGATTTAAGAGGTTGAGTGTTTTAATGGAGAAAAAATAGGCATTAAAATTGGTAAATGTGTATTATAGAAGAGAGAGTGTAATGTATCTAAAAACTTACATTAAAATAAAAAAAATAGAGAATTATGTAATATTTAAAAAAAGTAGGAAAAATTGAAGAATATAAAAATTATAGTTGTGTATTTAAGTTATTTTTACTTATATTGTTTTTGCATCATAATATCCGATGACTACGATGAGTTCATTCAAATAGCAAACCGTGCAATTGGATCCATCTAATCATTCAAATGAAACGGGCCTATCCACTTATCCATCCATAAGATTCAGTTTCGAAGCCCAACAAGAAATTTTAGCCCATATGAAAAGAGTCGGCCCAATTCCTTTACGAGTGAACAAAAAATATCTGAAAGAGTTAAAAACAATGAGTTATGAGCACATTTTGAAGCTTCCTTAACAATGGAGGCATTAACACACCTAAGCTTTGGCATTTGTACTGCACGCCTTTCACCACCATATCAACTAGCCGGCGGCGTCGGTAAGAAGCCGCCGAGACTCAATGCTGTTACCGGAGGAGCTAGTAGTGTTACCGGTGGAACAAGTAGTGTACCGACGAACTTCTCCGCCAGTAAATGGGCGGATCGTCTTCTCGCCGATTTCCAATTCCTTCCTTCCACCACCACCACCTCCGACTCATCGGATTTCCAGAATTCAACTTCTACAACCTCTGTTACGACTATTCCTCCTCCCGTTGCTCCTTCAGACCGCCACATTTCAATGCCTATAGACTTTTATAGAGTGCTTGGTGCTGAAGCTCACTTCCTCGGTGATGGTATCAGGAGATGCTACGATGCTAGAATTACTAAGCCGCCGCAGTACGGGTACAGTCAAGAGGCATTGATTGGCCGACGACAGATTCTTCAAGCTGCTTGTGAAACCCTTGCTGACTCTACCTCTCGTAGAGAATACAATCAAGGCCTCGCTCAGCATGAGTTCGATACTATTCTAACTCCGGTCCCCTGGGATAAAGTACCATTTCAATTACTCCACTTTTTTATTTACTGCCCACATTCTTAATTGAATAATTTTTTAGCTAATTGAAAAGTGCTATAGGGAGTTTGAAACTTGGAATTAAGTTTATCTGTATTAACTTATGCTCCCCAAGTAAGTCAGGTTGATCTTAGATGCCTTTTTTCAATTATATACTATCTGTATAATCTAGCTAATAATTGTAGCATGTTGCTTATCATATTTTACAAATTACCAATTGCAAGTAGCAGTGAATAAATTGTAGAAGTTTGTAGTTTTAAGTGCATCTAGGCTTAGTTCAAGTCGCCAAGGTTGAAGGACTTGTAATTTGGGTCATAGGTTCTAGCTATGCAAACTAAGCCTAGTATTTAAGCGGAGAAGGATAGAAGGACGGGCCCTTTTTCCTGAGTTTTGAAGGCTGCGGTTGTTCCTAAGGATTGGGCCAAAACTATTCCGCGGTTATAAGATAAGATTTTATATAGTGAGAACAACATGATCAATGTAGTTCATTGAGTTGTTGCTTGTTGCTTACCTTATTTTCTAGATTACCAGACCACGCTTACTATTGATAAAGGTAATTGTTTAAGTTATGCAAATTAAAGAAAAGGTTTTGTACATGACCAGTGTAATTTAACCCGTTGTAGCATGTCACCTACCTATTTTCCAGATTACCATCCTACACTTACTACTAAGAATTACTTGTAATTAGTTCTCAATACATAACTAACTGATAGTGTAGTAAAATTTATACCCGGGTTGGTTATAAAACTTAAATATTCTAAAAGTTGTTGTGGGATGCAAAGAATTTAAAAGAATGTCATGGCTTTTACAGGTTCCGGGAGCATTGTGTGTTTTGCAAGAAGCTGGTGAGACTGGAGTAGTTCTTCAGATTGGGGAAAGCTTGCTGAAAGAGCGGTTGCCAAAGTCATTCAAGCAAGATGTGGTCTTAGCTATGGCACTCGCATATGTTGACCATTCGCGAGATGCGATGGCACTTTCGCCTCCTGATTTTGTTCAAGGTTGTGAACTGCTTGAAAGAGCACTTAAGCTGTTGCAGGTATAGTTACTTCTGATGATATGAGTATGTTAGAGTGAATGTGATGGTATATTTGAAATTCTATAAAGGGAACACACATGGAAATAACTGTTTTCTATAGTTTATGCACTATGACACAGCTTTTGCCAGCTGCAAATGTCTGTTGACAAATGACTTTATTAATGGAAGAGGGTTTGTATCATTGTACTGATTGCTAACTTCATTTTGATTTACCTATTAATGAGTATAGTGCTCTTCTTGGTCATCCATGATTCACTTAAGACATCTCTGTTTGTTTGTTTTTGGTAATGTATGTGTGTGGGGTATATGTGACTGTGCACTTTTTCTTTACCTCTCGCCTGCTTTAATGCTGATGCATGCCTTTTTTGGGTCGAATTGTAAGCTTACAGTGAAGAGCAAATAATGAGGAACTTTCTTCCTTCCTTTTCCAGGAAGAAGGTGCAAGTAATCTTGCCCTTGATCTGCAATCCCAGATAGATGAGACATTAGAAGAGATAAATCCACGCTACGTACTTGAACTTCTAGCTTTTCCTCTTGGTGATGAATACCGAATGAAAAGAGTAGAGGCTCTTCAAGGTGTGCGCAACATTTTGTGGGCTGTTGGAGGAGGAGGAGCAGCTGCAATTTCAGGGGGGTTCACACGAGAAGATTTCATGAATGAGGCCTTCCTACGGATGACAGCTGCTGAGCAGGTTGGCTTAACTTCATTCATTTATTTTGGTTTCTTTTGTAACTGTTCTTTTCACTCCTTCTCTTCATTTTCCTCTTCTTTTTTAAAAGGTGGACCTCTTCGTCGCAACGCCAAGTAACATTCCTGCAGAAAGCTTTGAAGTTTACGGGGTGGCGCTTGCACTTGTTGCTCAAGCTTTTGTGGGAAAAAAACCTCATCTCATTCAAGATGCTGATAACCTTTTTCAGCAGCTTCAGCAGACCAAAGTTACAGCTTACGGCAGTTCTGTGTCTGTATACACTGTTAGAGAAAACCGTGAAATAGACTTCGCTTTGGAGAGGGGCCTTTGTTCACTGCTTGTTGGAGAAGTCGATGGATGTCGCTCTTGGTTGGGCCTAGACAGTGAGGACTCCCCTTATAGAGATCCATCTATAGTGACTTTTGTTGCAGAACACTCAAAGGACGACAACGAAAATGATCTGCTCCCTGGACTATGTAAGCTTTTGGAGACCTGGTTGATGGAAGTGGTCTTTCCCAGATTTAGAGAGACAGAAGATGTCACTTTTAAGCTTGGTGACTATTATGATGACCCTACTGTTTTAAGATATTTGGAAAGGCTGGAAGGTGGTGGTGCTTCACCTTTAGCTGCTGCTGCAGCTATTGCAAGGATTGGAGCTGAAGCTACAGCTGTGCTTGATAGTGTTAAGGCTAGTGCAATTCAGGCACTGCAGAAAGTTTTTCCTGCTGGGGACGGGGAAGGCAGTGTAAGACGATATGGTGACAATGAGATGAACGAATTTGATATTGCTAAGCCATTTGAGGATCTTGAAGAACTCCGTGATCAAAATAACTTTATTACGACTGTTGGGGATCCTGAGAGAAAGAGTTCTAACTATCAAGAGCAAGATGTGATAACTGACAGAATAAAAGATGCAAGTCTGAAGATTATGTGTGCTGGAGTAGCGGTTGGTTTCTTTACTTTGGTTGGATTGAAGCTTTCTTCCTTTAGACATGGGTCTTCAGTTCAACATTGTGCTAGTGCTACTGGTTCAGCCATTGCCTCGGATGTCATCAATGTGGGTATGACTCACTGACCATTTTAGTTTCTAAATAACTCTCGGGGTTGACCAAATATGACCTTATGGATCCATTCTCTTTTGCTTTTCTCTGCTGCTTCATTGAACGACCTGGATTTGAGAGAAAAAATCTTATTGTTACAAGTGGTAGTTGTACAGCTATCTAATAAAAATTATCTTCTTCTATTATTGTTATTATATTTTCTCAAGTCTGGGGTTCTTTTAAATTCTTGTCTGAGGGTTTCAGTTATGTTTTCTTTTTCCAACCTTCCCTTTCTTCTGAATATCAGAAATTTTATCTGCTACTGCAGATACCTCTGCCTCACCAGTTGAAAATCCTCTTGAGGTTCCTAGAATGGATGCAAGACTTGCAGAAAGTATAGTTCGGAAGTGGCAGAATATCAAATCCCAGTCTCTTGGAACCGATCACTGTCTCAACAGATTGTCAGAGGTATGAATATGTAATGCCTTACTTTTTATAGTGTTGATTATGTTTCACTATAGTATGACGTGAAATGCAATAGAACCTGAAAGCCTTGAGATAATTCTTAATGGATTTTACTTCCTGCCAAAGCAAGAGGTAGGATTGTGTGTTAGCTGCTCTATTTCAATTTCTATACAATGTTATGATAATATCTTTACAGCAAAATGTCATACACACCAACTTTTTGTTAGAGCCAAATGATTTCTTGTAGAATTCAGCTGCTCAACACGAGTTGCTTCGTGATGAACTACCCAGCATCTTTTTTGTTGTTTGCTATTGTCCAAATGCAGCTTAATACACCTCCTTGCTATTTCTGGTGTCACATTTGTATTTTGCCTGACGACATTGTTCAAAATGACAGGTTTTGGATGGTCAGATGCTGAAGATTTGGACAGACCGTGCAAGAGAAATTGCGCAGCATGGTTGGTTTTGGGAGTACAAGCTTTTAAACCTTGCCATTGACAGTGTAACTGTCTCAGCTGATGGCCGACGTGCTACTGTGGAAGCTACTCTAGAGGAATCAGCAAGTTTAACTGATGTAGCCCATCCAGAGCACAATGACTCATACAGTACTACCTATACAACTAGGTACGACATGTCCTGGGCAAACTCCGGTTGGAAAATTGTGGAAGGAGCCGTTCTTAAATCGCGATAATGGATGTATATGTTGACAAAGTTTCATGTAAAGTGCATCTTTTTGATTATTTTGCTTTACTTTCAAAGTCAGGTAAATGGTTAGTTTCGGCTAATTATAATGTACCTTGTTTGGATCAAAGAATTGTTGAGTGTAGTCGAAAAAAATGATCAGGATTCATCTCGAGTTAAATGCTATAATGAACAAAGGTTATCGTTGCCGAATTTGTGCTGAGTATGCAATGTATAGGTTTTATATACTTATATTTTGGTCTTTTTTGTACATATTTTGTGAACTAGTTGGCCTAATTGTATTGACAAGTATCCCAGGAAAAAAACCAAACAGAGAAGGAGAAGGAAAAGAAGGTTTTGTGGGTTTACATTCCAACCAGAACAAAAAAACTGCAAAATATGATGCCTTTTGAAGACAATTATCCTATGCTGTCCCAATGATTTTGAGTCTTGTTTTACATACATATAAGCTGCAATATATCTTCCACTTATATCTACATACAGGGATGACTCTCTGAACTTGAGATCTCGAGGTTGTGGATTGAATATACATAATGTACATTAATAAGGCTCGGTCGATGAGTAGGGAGAAGGTGTATTAAGTACAAGTATGGGACATCTTTTGTGTATATTTAGATACTATGGGGGTGGTTTAACTTCTAAACTTTACATGAATTAGGGGGGGTTAATTCATTTTGAAGCCACTACAATGCTTCAAATAATCCTTAAATCTTTTGCATTAGAAGATCACATTAGGCTTTTCTTGGTTTCCAGCTGAAAGACCTGAGATTTTTTGGCCCTGGTGAGAAGTTGAGTTCAAACATCTCTTTTGGGACTTCGTTTTGTGCTTCGAATCCAACTAATTTTGAGATGAGTGCTGCACTTTCCTTAATGTGATCCATGTCTTTGGTATCTTTCCATAACTGATGGCACAGTTGAAGTCTTCTTTTTTTAGTTTTAAGACCAATGCCCCGTTTCTCGTATAAGCTGTCTCTCTCCTTTGAAGAAAACTTCTTAAGAAGCAACTTGCTCAGCATTTCCCTCTCGCGATTCAGAGCATTTAAACTGTTCGAAAGGATTAGAGTACTTCAGGATCAATTTTTATCATACTTTCAGATAGATTAATTTTGCATGCTTGAAATATATTAAAGGAAAAAACTTCGAAATCTACCCTTCTTCTACTGTACGAAACATCTTAATCTTACTCCCCACTATATTTTTGGACTTGCTGTTAGCACATTGTCTCATATTTGCCCTTGACTTTAGCAGAGCTCTAATGTGGACTCCACATGTGAAAATAATTCTAGGGAAAAGGTGTTAGACTCTACTTTTGGTTAAAAATTACCCTTTGTTATACTTCATGTTAGAACTTCGTTATCATCATGGACATATATGAGACGAATTGCTAAGGGTATGAATGATCTAAAGTGTAATGGAGAGTAAAATTAAGATATTTCGGATACTAGAGGGGTATTTTTGACCATTTTCCCGATATGAAATTTGTCTTGTCTCATTGCTTGTGAAAGTTAGACAGAACTTGAGACATAGCAGCCCATGCAAGAAATCTCCAAAAACTACAGAAAAGAAAAAGATATAAATGAGTACCTTGCAGCCTGTGAGAAAATTTGACCGTCTTTCACAACTTTAGCTCCTAAAGAGAATGCGTTCTTAAGATAGGACAGTCTTCTAAGCTCCACCTCCATGTAAACTGAGTCAGTTGGATCCCCTTTGAAGAGTAGGAAAAAGTATGTTCTGTGAACAAGGGGCACATTGCATGCATTCCATAGTTCTATTATCTCTTGCCTTTGTTTCTCAAATTCCATCCACTGTCTGGAAGGAGATAATTCTGATTCATTCTCTGAATTTAAGGAATCAGCGGCAAAGTTTCCCAAGTCCTTGGAGGTGTGCTCATCATCCTGGACCTAACAAGATAAAGTTAATTTCTTATGATCTCTATACGAACTTATCAAAGTATGTATATCGATATACATTAGAAGCACATTTAAGAATTTTTTTGTGTTGAAGAGATGTGCAGTTCTAGCTATTAATCTCAAGCAGAAAGTTACTTACCAAATTATCCCCTGATTGCTTCTCAGGCACAGATTTGGCAACCTCACCCTCTGCACAAATTTTTATGCTATCTTCACCGGACATTTTTGGTTCCTCAGCACAAATCTTCTCACAGTCTTCACCTGACATTTTGAGCTTTACTTCAATCGTAAAACTGCGGTTGTGTTCTTTTGATAACAACTTAACATTATCAGCAGAAAGCTCCGGCTGAGAAGGTTTCTCCTCAATATCAATCTTTTTAATAGATAACTCTTCCTCAGATTTACTTGATATGTCCACATTTTCCTTAATTACTTCAGATCCTTCTGATACTGGCACGTTAATGATAATTGCTTCACTGCTTCTGCTCCTTGGTAAATTATTTGAGTCAGAATCTGTGTCGGAAGAAGAAGAAGAAGAGTGTTCCACGACTAGATTGCTAGTTTGCTTTGGTTCCTTATCGTTATGATCTCTGTCAATGAAACTTGACTCCTGATCTCCCTTTCGAGGTGATGAATGTTTATCAGAGCTTATACTCTTCGTGTTCGAATCCACTTCAACACATTGTACTTCCTTGCAGTTATCTTCCAAATTTTGAACAGTTCTTTGAGCACTATTTTCCCATCCCTTACATGGATCAGGTCCAAAATATTTCTCAATAAACAGCCTTGGGGAGGTGTCATCACAGAGATACTGATCTTCTGGAGGTTCAGGAATCTGCTCACCTAGCTTGTTAGAATTAAGGCCTCCGTATCTGCCATATTGAGATACAGCGGATACACCATCAGGACGAAAAGGATATACACATTCTGATACTTCTGATGCTGCACAGTCATCCAGCCATTGGGCCTTATCAGGAGATGACACACTACTCAGTTCAGTCTACAAGAGAGAGAGAACAGATTAAGCTCCCCGATGTATATTATGAATTGAAAAGTTTATGAGCTCATTCAAGACTAACTACACGTACCCATGACCCTGAACTTGGAAAATTGTGAAAACGAGATTGAGCAAGATCACGCTGCTGGGTTAGCTCCCTTATTTCTCTGCTCATCTGCATCGTGATACAAAAAGGGAATAGGTTATGGATATCTTGTCTTGAATGAAAGCCACTATACTTAGATCAAAGTTCAAGCAATTGAAGTTAGATAAATATTTAATCATTGAGAAACACTGAATCTGAACTGTCATCTATGACAAATACTAACGTCCTGCGCCCAAACTGCACCAAAAGGCAGACATATATATTAATCGACTCACATGTTTGATGCTAAAACAGTAAGTTTTTGAGATCCATAGCAAACCAAAAGATAAATCATCATTGAGACATTTAGTTTTGGAACAATTCTTGTCTTGCCATGTCTTATAGGCATGATGGAGAAGTCCTAAGAGATCAAAATTAGGTTGAAGAACAATGTATGAAAAGATATTGTAGGAGTTCCCCAGAATACTAGATATTGCAAAGGTTAACCATTGGTACCTTTTCAATCAGATCCTCCTTTTCTTTCAGAGCCTCTGACGATCCACCTGAGGCAGCAAGTGCCGATAAACTCCTTAGCTCAGCTTCCAATCTAGCTAGTTCTTTTCGTAATTGTTTCACCAGTGCCTTCTCTGACATTACCACGTTAACTTTTGCGTTAGTAATAACATTCTTGGCACAAGTTGCAAACAACAAAGTGTTCCTGGATTGCTCAACATGGCTATGTGCAGGACTCATGGTGCAAATGATGGCAGTTCTGGCATTGCCTCCCAATGAATTCTGTAGTATGCGTGTCAGCTTCGAGTCTCTGAAAGGAATATGTCCATTTCCTTTTTTGCTGATAAAAGTACAAAATTATATTGATGAACAAGACTTAGAAATAGCCTTTTAGCGATCTAAGGAAGAAGCCAAAACAAAAACAAATTTGAAGCTCAGCAAACTGTAGTTATGTGGCAACCTTAATTTGCGAATGACAGTTCCAAGAGTCAGCAAACTGCGATTGATGTGGCTGCCTTCTTTCAGTCTTACATTTGCTGACATGGTTTGAGAAGCACGCTCACTTCCAGCAAGATCAACAAAATTCTGCAGGAAGAAGAACAAAATATTGTCTATCAATCATTTTCATAGGAACTAAGGACTCCAATAATCTTTCTAAGTGATGTCCGTGCAGAGGTAATTTTCCTCACCACTGCAGCTGTCAGAGTGCTTGAGTTTAAGCCAACAAATTTCTTAGCGGTACTTTCAACTGTCTGCAAAAAGATCATTTGTCCAAGTCAAGAAATGATGTATTTCCTTTATATATTATTATTCATAAACCATCTTGTAACCAATGCACTAACCAAACGCAGAATCTGGTGAGATCTTGAGCTCACTTCGTTGAGAGCAGTTTCTCCTATTTTCCTTTGAGCTGCAAGAATGGTAACAATTGAAGTATATCATATTAACTTGCTGGAAACACTACACAGCAGTCTCAGCCTTTTACCTTCACATACTGACAGCAGTTCTTTTAGATGGTTCCAGTCCTTCAGTGTTATCTCTGTAAGTTTTTCAACTACAGTTCCTCTCTGTAAATGAAAGAGGTTACTTACTTGCATAATATTGTCTGTGAATAAAACAAAACTTGATCATGCTTAAAACATATATTCACCTCTGGATCATCGAGGAGTCTAAGTGGAGTGTCCTCTGGGGTTAGAAGGTCTCTAACAACTTCATTGTATATCTCCATGGCAGAGAATTTTAGTGTAAATTCTCGGTCTACGTTCTAAAAGTTTTTGAAAATAAAAAGGCACCTTAAAAGCATCAGACACTCTGAATTTTGTACAGCATAAATTAATTGCATTGAAGAATAGGAAAGGTTTACCCACCCTGCATATATGATCATATATATCTGCTAATGTGTATTCGGTGATTCCAGACATAGTATACGTTTTCCCACTACTTGTCTGTCCATATGCGAAGATACTTGCTGCAAAGACATTTCATACGTTATTACTGTAACATCATTATGTAGGTGCAGAAAATGGACCGTGAACAAGGGCTAGTACTTACAATTAATACCACTAAGAACTGAAAGAGCAACTCCTTTGGCGGCTTCCTCATACACCTGCCTTGTGGAGCAATCATACCCAAATACTCGGTCTGTTCAATTTCATACACCAATTTTAAGGAGGAATCTTTTCAATTC